TAGTCGTTCAGAATCTTCAGATATTTAACTTAAGAAGAACATTTTGGTTCGAAAGTTTTATCCAACTCTAGAATGTATAGTTGGATAGAAAGTTCAGCTATAAAAGAGCTGCAATTCCATTCTTGTGGAAAGAATATTCAGTAAATAAAACTCATATTGTTCTTTCTTGTTGATAACGAATTTATAATCGTGGGTTGACCTACAATAACATCCCTAATAAAAGTCCTTAATCAATGGATGCAATTTCACCTCTTACCCAAAAACACCTCGATTCCACCCGTTTTTCAGCTTGGTGAATTCCGCCTGATCAAGATGACTAGGTTGACGTCATCACCTCTACTTTGACCAATCTCTCACAGATGCATGGCATAGTTGACGTCAGCACCTTATTTTCAACCAATCAAAAGTCAACAATGATGGTGACACCAATGTCCATCCCAAATATCATGATAAAATTTCCGTTTCGGAGGTAAATTGTTCGTAAAGGAAGAGAATTGGGGTATAATTGGAGCTCAAAGGATGTAATTGAAGAGGCATCAGTAGGTTTGGACTCGATTGGAAGCTTTGAAAGTGCTAAGTGGATGAATTCACAAGTTTTGGGGACTATATTCGATATTTGAAGAGTTTGGGGACCAACTTTAGCATTTTCGAAACTCTGGAGAACCAAATTTGAAGATGAGTTGAGAGACCAAAGTCGCATTTAGGGGTGTCCAAAAGTTTCGAATCGAACCGGACCTAATCGAGCGGTTCTTCATAAATTAAATATCCGAACTGGTACTCGAATCGAGAACCAATAGGTTTGGATGGGGTCTAGACCAAGAACCGAAGAACCGAATAAGAATCGAAACTAAATAATTTTTTTATTTTTTATATTGAATTAATTAAATTATTTTATTTTTTTTCTAAACAAATTAGCAAATTAATTAAACAAATCAAATTATTTCATAATTTTAATTTTAAAGCTCAAATCATTTTAAAAACCCATTAACTCATTTTAATGTGAAGCAAATGAATATACTTTATGTTGTCTTGCTGTAATATTAATATATACTTTTTGGTATTTGTATGCATTGAATTAATTTTATTGAACGGTTAATTATTTATATGTTTTTGAATAACAAAAGAGCGAATGAACTTTGGAATCGAGGCCTGTGTAAACACAATTTTCTTAAAACAGATTCGCCACTTCACCGTAGGTGCTTGAGATTTAGTTCGAGCGTATGTTTTTCAAGAAACAACGAAAAATCAGTAAAGCTTGTGTACTGCAGATGCTACTCCGACGAACTTTGTATTTGAACACTATCACCACCAAGACCTTGACATAAAACGAAAATTATGTATGCGGAGAGGAGATAAAATTTTATGCAGAGAAGAGAAATTTTTGTGTATTTTTGTAAGGGATGAAGATGACTAAATAAATAGATTATATTAGAGAATTAACTGGCCAGGAGCTACCATTAACCACCATTAACCCGACTGTTAATCTCTCAATTAATATAGACACAATCACATGAGTTTCAAAAGTTAAAAGAATTTGAAAGGTTTTTTATTTGGAAAAATAATAAAATGAAGACAAAACATAGACCTTCTTAAGACCAATTTTTTGTTTATTCGGTCCGACATTCGTGTACGCTGGTCGCGCCCGCACACAATTTTAAGGTTCGAAATCTATTTTGATCCTTGATTTGCATTCCACTGCGCGCGCACTTGGAGAGAGCCTCTATATTACACATGATTACACCCTTCTAAAATGTAATAATATTTAACGTGGTCATTGCCTTTATTTATTTTTCCATGTGGGATAACTTTAAACTAATTTCCCTCCAACACAAACCTCTTTTAATTCATCACTTGGAGCTCAAATTTTTCATTCATCCGAGTATTATTTTTGACAAGTAAATATATGATTTCGATGTTCTCACGGAGGAGAACACGAATCAATCTTGATCTTTTCAAAATAAACAAACGGATCACAGTCAAAATTTATGCCAAAATCGGCTCTTCAATTTATTGAATACTTCATAGATTTGATTGTTAAAATTATAGGAAGAGGAAGATAGCGAGCTCACAATAATAGAACAGAAAAAATGATACTATGGTAGAATGAGAGATTTAGGTAAAATTGAGGTCAATTTGATTAAATTGGGCTTGGTTGAAAAATAGAAATAATAAAATAATATTTTGGGTTTTAGATAAATTAATTAGTTAGTAAATTTATTTAAAAAAATAAAATAATTTGACTTATTTAAAATAAAAATTTTTAAAAAATTAGGGAGATTTTGTTCGTCGATTCTCGGTCTAGAATCAAGAATCGAATTAAATTCGTTGGTTCTCAATTCAGGTAGTCGTTCAGAATCTTCAGATATTTAACTTAAGAAGAACAGTTTGGCTCGAAAGTTTTATCCAGCTCTAGAATGTATAGTTGGACAGAAAGTTCAGCTATAAAAGAATATTTAGTAAATAAAACTCAGATTGTTCTTTCTTGTTGATAACGAATTTATAATCGTGGGTTGACCTACAATAACATCCCTAATAAAAGTCCTTAATCAATGGATGCAATTTCACCTCTTACCCAAAAACATTTTGATTCCACCCGTTTTTCAGCTTGGTGAGTTCCGCCTGATCAAGATGACTAGGTTGACGTCATCACCTCTACTTTGACCAATCTCTCACAGATGCATGGCATAGTTGACGTCAGTACCTTATTTTCAACCAATCAAAAGTCAACAATGATGGTGACACCAATGTCCATCCCAAATATCATGATAAAATTTCCATTTCAGAGGTAAATTGTTCGTAAAGGAAGAGAATTGGGGTATAATTGGAGCTCAAAGGATGTAATTGAAGAGGCATCAGTAGGTTTGGACTCGATTGGAAACTTCGAAAGTGCTAAGTGGATGAATTCACAAATTTTGGGGACTATATTCGATATTTGAAGAGTTTGGGGACCAACTTTAGCATTTTCGAAACTCTGGAGAACCAAATTTGAAGATGAGTTGAGAGACCAAAGTCACATTTAGGGGTGTTCAAAAGTCTCGAATCGAACCAGAACGCACCGGACTGAATCGAGCGGTTCTTCATAAATTAAATACCCGAACAGGTACCCGAATCGAGAACCGATGGGTTTGGGTCGGGTCTCGGGTCTAGACCAAGAACCGAAAAACCGAATAAGAACCGAAACTAAATAATTTTTTATTTTTTATATTAAATTAATTTATTTTTTACTCGGGTCTAGACCAAGAACCGAAGAACCGAATAAGAACCGAAACTAAATAATTTTTTTATTTTTTATATTGAATTAATTAAATTATTTTATTTTTTTTATACAAATTAGCAAATTAATTAAATAAATCAGATTATTTCGTAATTTTAATTTTAAAACCCAAATCTTTTTTAAAACTCATTCGCCCATTTTAATATGAAGCAAATGAATATACTTTATGTAGTGTTGCTTTAATATCAATATCTACTTTTTGGTATTTGTATGCATTGAATTAATCTTATTGAACGGCTAATTATTTATATATTTTTGAATTGCGCTACGTTAATTTGTAAAAGTTACGAATGTTATTAGTTGTATTTATGTATTGTTGCTGTAAATATTAAAAATTTTAATTATGGTACGGAACCGAACCGACCCAAACGGAACGGAACCGAACCCGAACGGTTCCATAATTATATTTGAACCCGACGATTCCATTTATTAAATACCCGAAAGTTTTGGGTCGATTCAGGTCTTTTCAAAATCGAACCGAATCGACCCACGGACAGCTCTAGTCGCATTCGGCCGTATGCAACCGAGAGTTCGCATTTTAAAGGCCAAATTCAAGGTTACAAACTGATTCTTCCAATAAAGTTAATATTAGTTAATTTCGGTATATTAGTAAAAATGGTCCTCGTAGAAACGATATTTATTCACTTGTGATTGCTGCATTTATGATTAATTTATCATGTCGAGATTGGAGTATGTGACTCTCTTCCACGTATTGTGGTCATATGCCCTCCTCGCATAGGATAGCAGTACTCCACCTTTGGGCTTCTTTACTTGACTTGTCACATCATCCCTACTAATATATTATCAAAAAAAAAAATGCAGGCTGTAGAGCTTTTAACTCGTCTAATTTTATAATGGAAAAGGAGAGAGGTGGAATGTTATCACTAACTTACGAGTTATGTCGAATAAAAATATTTATTGCATTGTCTTGCAACCACAAAGCAACCTAGATATCGATAATATCTTTAATATTTATTACATTTAAATTAAGCCTTTGATTATCATTAATATTATAATAACTAAACAATTTCTCCCTCAAAGCTAGAAGTTACATATAATTAAGAACATCTGTAATAACGGTGTAAAATTGAGTTTAAATTAATGTCTCCAAAATCACTTTTGCATCTGAGTGTTTGACACTCATTTTAATGGGTTGAAAAATTTTGGAATAGTGATTGATGTGAAAATATGTGATGGAAAAGTGATGAAAAATTTTAGATTCGTGTGTAATATTATTTTATTAGAAAATTGTGTGAATGAAATGAAAAAAGAGAATGAGAAAGATAAAGAGAGAGAGAATGAATGCCGAACAAGGGTACTTCTCTTCATTGGAGAGATTTTCAACCACTTTGGAAGATCTAAATCTTTATATTAATGGCTGAGATGCTCTAAAGCACCATTTGTGATTGCTTTAATATTTGAATGCAACTTCTTGAAGTCTGATATTTTGCATCTCTTAACTACTAACTAAAAATACAGAAGGTTACATCCAAATTTAGAACATTAACTAATGTCACCCTTCTTGCGTACACGAAAAGCACATCTGTGAATTTTGATGAAATTTAACTTGACTGGATTCTACTATCAACTGAAAAAGATAGACGAATCCAGTTTGATACAATGCTTCATATTCTACTATCAACTGAAAAAGATAGACGAACCCAGTTTGATACAGTGCTTCATCCATTAAGCACAGAAGTAACTGCCAAATAATTCTCTTATCCAATCATCTAACCATTTCTGATATTCTCGAAGCACATGAAGAATGGCCTCCTCTTGTCTGCCTTGTATTGTAGGAGTTACAATTCAAGCACTTGTGCGCCACGAGATGGAAATTCACTTCTGATGTTTCTCCACAGTCGTTACAAAGGATCCATACCTAAATCGCCGGGACATCAAATATTACGTATTTCAGATAAGTTATCTTAGTAATTAAAGCATAACAAGGGTTTATAACGATTTAGGACTCCGTTTCTTACCATCTTGTTTTGATACATTTCAGGCATGGTAATTGAAGCGACCTGGATTTAGAAGCAAAAAACGAGATGGTTAGGGTACAGGAGAAAAAAAAAAGATGTGAAAAGCATGATCACTGTAAATTTGCAGACCTCCTGATCCAGCTTCTCCCATACTTGGGTCATGTCACAGTAAGATTTTGAGCAAACCGGGCAAGAATACCTGTATGCCTAAAACCATTATCACAAAAGCCTTTGATGGAAAAGAAAAAAAGAACACAACTAAAGCTTTTACAAAAGTCAGTTCTACATTGTATTAGACTGCAGGCAAAAGAAATTCTGCGTTCAGGTCTCACCAACATCCTTTTTAAACAATATGCACGTGAGGAAGGTGTTGAACACATAATTTACACGCGATTTGAACTTTTAAATGAGGTGGTTTAATAGGGAGAAAGGACGAGAAATCTTACTGGAAATGCCTTTCCATCTCCTTTACACATTCGAGATGTATAGTGTGGCCACATGGCAATACAGTAATGTCTCTTGTGGTATCGAAAAGATACTGCATTACGAGATTAAAAAAAAATTAAAACAGGAATTTAATCAAAATACTTTTGTTACTATAACTGCGGTGTCATATATTTACCTCAAAGCAAACCGGGCAATTGTGGTGCATTGCTCTTTCCACACAAATATGTGACTCCTTTAATAAATTTGAATAGCAACATTCTGAAACAGAAAACACGCGTCTTTAACTGCTTGGTTCATAACCCCAACTATCAATAAGTAAAACTTGTTTAGAAAAAAAATATGACTTACCACATCTATCACAATGGAAATAATTTTCCTTGCCACCAGTTCTGTTTGACAAAAGTCCAAAAGAAAAAAAGGAAATTAGATACAGATAGTTGCAAGAAATTATCTACACAAGAAAGGAGTGGAAAACAAATTGGCCATCAAAAAATAAGCAACCAAAATTCTGTAGAAAAAAATTGTCGTGACAGCGTTCATATGCCAAGAAAATTTATCAGAAAACAATAGCAGTACGAAGATTGAGTCGAGATGAGAGGAACAAAAAACAACATGGTCTTCCAAATGGGGAGAAAAAATCGATCAGAATAGATCTTAACCTGCAGATTTGACATTTATCACAGTGATATTGATTCTTCGAAACCTAGAAAAGAGAGAAATAAAAGGCGAGGTTATTCAAGCCGATGCTTGATAAAAAGTACGTAATGCTTGAGAATTTAACCAAGAAGAACCTTACATCGTCGTCAAAGAATTTGCAATTTGAGCAATAGTACTTCCCCATACAAGTGCCACAATTGATACAAGTTTGTTGAACCTAAATGGCAAATAAAATTGATAACATCAATAAAATAAGTAAATCGTCTAGCAGCACAACTTCAGTAAATTGTCAAATGTTAGCATCTATAATATGAGTTTTGAAGGATGAAACTCACATCTTGTTCTGTGTTACACAATGAACAGATGACCTGAAGACATAATTATATAACAAAATTAGTAAAAATTAGCGTACTAAAGATCATATGTTCGTTTAGTGAATGACAAATGAAGATGCATCGTGAAATTTAAGGAAATAAAGTTTGGGAATATAGACATTCTTATGGATAACTACCAAAAACAGTATAAATTTTTTGACTCAGTGCCGGTAATATCGATGTCTAAACAAATAAGAGGATAGGAAATAAAACAAAGTATTTATGCCTTATCCATAAGAAGCTGTATAATGAGATAAGTGCATAGCTTGTCCGCCTATCAAACAACACTTTCATCCGACACGGAATTGCATTGAACTTTTGACATAATTCGACAGAAAATCCATCTCTTCTTTTTCTTTTTCGGAAAAAAGAAATTAAAAATCCTTCTTGTCATTTTCTTTTCTATATGACAACGAAATTAAATTAAAAGAATTACAAAAACCAAACACCTCTTTGTATCCACATTAAGTTAACACTAAGCACACATAATAACATATGCATTAAATTTAAACACACAAAAAAAAAAAAAAAACTAACCCTTTTTATTTCGTGACGGGGAATATCATGACGCTCGAGCGGATCGACTTCTATTGAATTCTGTTCAATAATAATAAGAGTTATTTCCAAAAATTTCTGCTGAAATCTTAAATTTTTTTTTAATTTTTTTTTTACATAACCTCAAACTAATTAGCAATACATAAAAAGGTTGAACCTTTGCATCATTGTGGCAGTGCCGGCAATCAAATATCTCATTGCAACAGGGTGCTATAATCTTACACCTTCTCCGGTAATGCGAGCAGCTGAAACATTATTCAATATAATCTAAAAATTAACAACTAATTTATTTCTGCTGCTAAAATTACTTTTTATCCAGGAAAAAAAGTAGCCAAAAAGTTAAAAACATGGTAAAAAAAGTAGATCAAGAATATTTATTTAAAAAAAAAGGTATATACCCATAATTTTCAGATCCCATATCCATCACGCATTCATCCTCAACAGATGAATGAGAAATCATCTGATGCTTCAAACCACAGTCCATTTCCTCTTCTTATAATTTATGGAAATAGATTCAAGATCCACTACAGAATTTCTCCTGAAAATTCGAGCCCAAATAAAAAATCAAATCAAGAATCTAGGCAAAAACAGATCTTAAAAATATTAGCATCAAAACTCAGCTGAGTTAGAATAGATTGAATTGAAAGGAAGAGAGAATCAAACCCCTCAAAAAATATTTTCATTAGGGCATCTGGGGTGTTTAGTATGAACCCTATAATGATAAAAATAATTTTGCAACAGTAACACAAATCTTTTGAAAAATTACATAGTCAACCCAAAGATTTTCCACATTTTCGCATTCTTCTCCAATCTTCCTTTTATACTCTCTACTATCCTCGAAGAGATGACGAGGCAACACGCCACCGTTCGGGTCTACATTTCTTGCAATTATTACACTATAAATAATCAATAACACAGTGCACCAAGAGAGAGAGAGGGACATACAAAGTAAACGGCGTCGTATTTTCGAGGAGATTGAGGAACAAGAATGGAACTAGTGTCTTTTCGAGCACTGATCTGTTTGTAAAATCTGGATAAGAATTGGAGAAGTTATTATAGTTTGGTGGGTACTACAACAGCCACCAACGGTGTTTATATAGCTGGTTTTGAAGAACTGAATCCGTGGGTTTCAACTGTATAATCTTTCTGTGGTCCTATGATGTCGACTATTCAAGAAAACCCTCTATTTATGTACCATAAAGAAATTGTTTGCATCATTATATTTCGATAACATCTACAGTCTTGATTTTAAATTCATTTATCTCATTACTGCACAGATTTTCTCCACATAAAGGACGATGTCAAGTTTTCAAAACCGTATTTGATATATTCGTAAAAATAAATAAATGGATGAAGTTAATTATCAAAAAATATGTAAAATTGCAATTACGGTCCGTTTACTTGACTAGTCTTGGTGTTCGAATTTGTTGTCAATTCTAGATAACTTTTGATTTTTCGTTCTTATCTTTTTTATAGAGATTCTACCTCTTTAATTTTTGTAACATAAATCATTTTGAACCAAGATACCTAAAATAAGTTTTCAATTTATTGAAAAGATAACTTTTTGTCATAATGACATAAACAAAATAAAAAAGAAAATACTATAAAAGAAAAATCACGAGAGAGACGGGATCTTCAATACTGGAATACAATCTTGAAAAAAAAAGTTCAACAAGTAATTGTGATTTTTCTTCATAATTGACCTTGAATTCAAAGACGCGTTCTCAAAATCATAAATTCAACAGTAAAACAAAAACATTTGAAATACGAGACAGAACAAAATTTGCTAATACTTCAAATGGACATTAACAATTAAAAAATTCCAAACGGGTTGCAATCCAATTTACAGTTATTATTATTATTATTTGATTTTGACAAATAATTCAAAGAGAAATTGTGTAGAAAAAGTGGGGGTATTTTGGACAATAGACGGGGACAGAATGAGAACTTTAGAGCACGGGTTCAGATTTGAGAACGAAATGGATAAATTCGTTGGATTTGCTGACGAGGATGGCCCCACTCCACATAATGCACTTCCGTACCTATTTGTCTATTGAGTCGGCCACAGGTTTATTTCACAAATAATCACTAAACTCACATAAAAATTATAAAACGATCACTGAAATTTAAAACTTGCAGAAACTATCACTGAAATTTCATGTGCTTTCACAAACGGTCACTGAAGGACCAAAACATGTGGACATAAAAGCTTGAGGATCTCAGTGCAAATTCCATTCCCATTCCAAAACGGCCAAAAATACGCATTCCGACGACACTCACGTTAAGCCCCATATACTGCTCGATTCGACTCTTCTAGGCGACCCTATCCATAGCCTCCAATCAATAAATAATCAACTCCATCAAAATCAGAAAGCTTCGTTCGTGTTGCCTGACACTCAATCAATTGCAGAAATTAGAGCCCTCATTTGTCAAATTTTGGGGTCGAATTTCGACCAATTTGAGCAGAATTTCGGCCAATTTTGTACTTGAGGTCCTCAAGCTTCTATGTCCATGTGTTTTGATCATTTAAGTTTGAACTAACATCATAACGTCATAATAGTAAGTTCAGTAACCGTTTGTGAATGCGCATGAAACTTCAAAGACCGTTTCTGCAAGTTTTAAACTTTAATGACCGTTTTGTAATTTTTAGATAAGTTCAATGACCGTTTGTGAAATTAACCCGTTGGCCACCAATATTTTAAGTGGAAATTATGTAGACCAAGGGTCCGTTTGAATAATTGAATTTGGTTTGTATTTCGATTTTTAATTTTGAGTTTGAGTTCCTTTTTTTGTTTTCTGTTTCAAGGGTCTTTTTAAAGTCCAAGTTTATTTGTCGCTTTGAAAAATTATTTCTCAACATAGAAAATTAGAAAACATGTTTGGTTTAAAATTTTGAAAAATTGTTTTATTACATTTTATTCCATAAAGTTTGAATATTTTGAACAAAAAAGAAAAAAACATTAATTTATTATCAAGTATTATATACATTTTAAAATTGGTGAATCTCATAAAAATTTTCTCATTAAAAAATAATAAATTAATCTCAAAATACAGGAAATAAAAATAAAACAAATGCATGGACTTAAAATATTTTTTATGTGTTCATTTAAATATGTTTTAAAAAAAAATTATATAAACAATTATTAAGAGCTACAACTATATTTATTTTTATAATATTTATAATATTTATTTTTTCAAAATTTTAATTTTGTAGAATTTTTTTTTTTTAGAATTTATTTTTTCAAATTTTTTATTTTTAAAAATTCATCAGTGTTATTTTTTCGATTTTCTTTCTATAAATTGAATTTTTTATAATTTTTGTAATTTTATTTGTTAGAAATTTATATTTTTATTATTTTGAGTTTTATGTTTTAAATTTATCTTTGTTTTCGAAAATGCATTTTCAGAAATAACATACCAAATGCGTTTTCAATATTTTGCAAAATTGAAAACTAAAAATGACTTGAAAACTGCAAATCAAATGCACCCTGAGCGTTTTCAAGGTCTCAATTCATAATTAAGAGTTACAAGTTTTTCTTTGAAAAATCAAATATAATTAAAATTCTAAATATTAATAATAATAGTATAAAAATTATTTTACACATTCACCAATTACCATCTATCCTCCCAAACCCAAATTATTTCTCAATCTCTCATTTCTCTCTATATGCAGTCGACCCCTCACTTCCTCTATATCATACTAGCGCAACCATTGTTCATAGCGTCACCATATCGCCCGTCAAGAGTTGATGAGGCCCCACCATCGTTCGCTGCCATTTGAAAGTGGAACGATTTGAGAGCGACATCGTCGGCGCACAATCTTAAAGGGTGGCATCATACATGTCTAGCAACACGATGCAGCAGCGATGGCTCTGATTAGATCCGGCATCGAAGACATTGGGTTTAGACGACGGTGAGTTCACATGGTGCGGTGTTGTGGCGGTGATTTTGCAGTTTGCTGTGGTGTGTATGGTGTTATGGGTGCTGTGTGGTATTTTTCAGCTACTGGTGTACGGTGGTGCGGTTGGTGGTTGCGGTGTGACGTGGTTGGTGGTTGATGTGATTTGTGATGGCGAGGTTTTTGCGTTACTACAATGTGTGGTAGTTGAGGTTGCATGCTTTGTCGTTGTTGTGGTGTACGGTGGTGGTGTGGTGGTCGCGGGTGGGATGAGGTGGGTGATTGTGACAAGTAAATTGATTAATTTTTTACTAATAACGAATGTGTGACCTAAAAAATGGGATTGAGATCGAGAAATAATTTGTAACCAATTAATTTGATAATTTATGATCAATAAATAAATTATAACCTATAAAAACTTTCATTTTGTTTTCAATGAATAAATTTTGACTTATAATTTTTTTTGATTTGTGATTGAAAAATAATGTGTGACCAAATTGTATAAAATTATGGCATAAATATATTTTGTTGACCTTAATATATTTTGTCAATAAAATATATTTTTAATTAATTATTTCGTAAATAAAATTTAATAATTTATGATTTTTGAAGTTTTAAATTTTCTTTCTTAATTTTGAAATGGATCATAGTTATTAGTTAATATCTTATATCTGAATTTTTTTCCAAATTTTAACCCTTCGGTCCAATTACAAAACTTGAATCACGAGCTCTTATACCATTGTTGTGAAAAGTTAATCCCCACCAAACCCAAAAGAAACATAAAACATGAAAACAAGTTAAAAAGAGAAAAATAATATTAAACGTGGTTCGACTATTCGTTGACAACCACAAGAGAAGAATACTTTATTAATTGAGGAAACCCCATAATACAAGCTTTTATTCACTCTCACAACTTCTATGAAACCAAAACTAGAACAACTAACATACAAAACACACGAGTTCAAATTATTTTTATACTAGTTTCTCTCTAAATTTTTACAATTTTAGTTGCATCTAATTCTCTACCCCAATGCATGTCTTCTTGGTGTCAAAACAAATTCCTCTCAATGCAATGTTATGAATTTATAGGAAAGACTATTAAACTCTTAGAGT